TTAGTAGAGGCGGGGTTTCGCCGTGTTGACCAGGATGGTCTCGATCTCTTGACCTCGTGATCCACCCGCCTCGGCCTCCCAAAGTGCTGGGATTACAGGCTTGAGCCACTGCGCCCGGCCAGCAATTTTTTTAAACTTACATTCCTGGTAACTAAGGCACTTGGTAACTACCCACCAAGATTCTCTCTCCAGGCTGTAAAAACTCCCTTAACATAGCGTACAAAGAAGGGATAGGAGATACAATAGCTGCGAAAAGAAAAGAGAAATGCAATAGAAAAGTCTGTAAGTCCTGGTGCCAGCTCCCCGATGGGCTGTAGGGGTCAGAGGTAGTCTAGGGGCCTTCACGTAACACAGATATAGCCTCGGCCAGGTACCTTCAGTTGCTCCAGGACCTCCTTCCAAGGGAAACTGGATTGGAACAGAGCCAACATGCCTACCACGTGAGGGTGATGGGGATTGACAAAGTCCTCTTCAGCAAGCCTGTACCTTAATCTTGTAAGGCTGGCAGCCACTCAAAAAGCTTTTAACTGGCTGACAGGGGCCCAGTGTTTTATTTAATTTAAAAAATTAGGCCAGGTGCAGTGGCTCATGCCTGTAATCCCAGCACTTTGGGAGGCCAAGGCGGGTCGATCATGAGATCAAGACCATCCTGGCTAACATGGTGAAACCCCATCTCTACTAAAAACACAAAAAATTAGCTGGGCATGGTGGCACACACTTGTAGTCCTAGCTACTTGGGAGGCTGAGGCAGGAGAATTGCTTGAAACTGGGAGGCGGAGGTCGCAGTGAGCCAAGATCACGCCACTGCACTCCAGCCTGGGCAACAAAGGGAGACTCCATCTCAAAAAATAAAAACAAAAACCTGAGGGCAAGAAGCCTCCAAACAAAAGTAAAGAGTTGGAGGTCCCTCCTACTCACCCTTCTAATGGTTCCTTTCCCTGGCAATGCAACAAAATGTTATAGTTTTGGCAATGCACTCCAATGTAGCAGTTTCTCCTTGCCAGGTATCACTCGGAGTTCTTTGTTTCACAACCAAAAAAATTAAGGAGCCTAGACACAAAAGGTGAGGTTGGAGCAAAAGTTTAATAAGTGAAAGAAGAAAGCTCTCTGCTGTGGAGAGGGGGCCTGGAAAAGGGTGGCCGTATTTACAGTTAAATGCAAGGGCTTTTATAAGAAACTGATGAGGGCTGGACATCTCATTTGCATAAGATGCAAATTTATGCTAGCTCCACCTCATTCTTCTAGTGTGCATGTGGGCTCTTAACCTGAGCTGTTCCATATTGCTTTGTTCCCCTTACTGTGCATGGGTCAGGGGATGGAATTTTCCATTGCAGGCTTGCCTGGGAAAGTTACCTATGTAGTCTTTCTTATCTCTTCAGCTGTGGACATGTCTTAGGCAAGCCTCCTTGTCCAAGTACCCTTACCTGTGTTTGCAGGCTGTTCTTTTGTTTGAAAGAATTCAACTGAGGACCCACTCTAACTGCCTGACCAGTTTCTTCCTTTCTTGTTGCCAGCTCTTGTTGCCCAGGCTGGAGTGCAATGGCGCGATCTCGGCTCACCGCAACCTCCGCCTCCTGGGTTCAGGCAATTCTCCTGCCTCAGCCTCCTGAGTAGTTGGGATTACAGGCACGCGCCACCATGCCCAGCTAATTTTTTGTGTTTTTAGTAGAGACGGGGTTTCACCATGTTGACCAGGATGGTCTCGATCTCTTGACCTTGTGATCCACCCATCTCGGTCTCCCAAAGTGCTGGGATTACAGGCTTGAGCCACCGCGCCCGGCCCAGTTTCTTCCTTTCTACTTTCTGACTAGCCTGAACAATGCGGTGAAACTCCCTCTCTATAAAATATACAATAAATGAGCCAGGCATGATGGCATGAATCTGTGGTCCCAGCTACTCAGGAGGCTGAGAGGGGAGCTGCAGTGAGCCAAGATCACACCACTGCACTCCAGCCTGGGAGACAGAGCATGACTGTCTCAAAAAAATCAAAAACAAAAACAAAAGCAAAACCTGATTTCAGTCATTCCTTCTGTTTGTAACTCACCTGTGCCACTACTCAGACAGGCATACAATGTTACGAATTCCTGCATCTTTGGGGGATTATGCACTGTAAGTGAGTGTTTCCTCACTGCTCTCTGCTGAATTCATCTTAAGTTGTTTGCCATTCTACCATTTTCCAATTCAAAAACGCTGGTGTTACTCTCCTACCCTCATTGCTCTTGTGATTTTCTGCTGTAGAAACAAACAGGCTGGGTGCAGTGGTTCATGCCTGTAATCCTAGTACTTTGGGAGGCCAAGGCTGGAGGATCACTTGAGGCCTGGAGTTTGATACCAGCCTGGAAAACATAGCAAGATCCCCATGGCTACCAAAAATTTTAAAAATAACATAAAAAATAACAAAAGAAATCCCTGTTACTGTGGTTTTAGAGGGGTTTGAGATGGAACATAGCTAACTGTTGGTATTAAAACCAAAATTTTAAACCAGCCTTTATGTACAATTTTATATTTCCTTCAAAAAAAAATTTTTTTTTTTTCGAGACAAGAGTTTTGCTCTGTCTCCCAGGCTGGAGTGCAGTGGCACGATCTCGGCTCACCACAACTTCCACCTCCTGGGTTCAAGTAATTCCCTGCCTCAGTCTCCTGAGTAGCTGAGATTACAGGTGTGCGCCACCATGCCCAGCTAATTTTTGTCTTTTTAGTAGAGACAGGGTTTCACCATCTTGGCCACGCTGGTCTTGAACTCCTGACGTCGTGATCCACCTGCCTCAGCTTCCTAAAGTGCTGGGATTGGCCGGGCGTTTTGGCTCACACCTATAATCCTAGCACTTTGGGAGGCTGAGGTGGGTGGATCACCTGAGGTCAGGAGTTCAAGACCAGCCTGGCCATCATGGTGAAACCCTACCTTTAAAAATAAAAATAAAATAAAGTGCTGGGATTACAGGCGTGAGCCACCAAGCCTGGCCTAAAAAATTTTTATTTAGTATTATAGAATAATCATTTCCCTGTGTGATTAAAAACGTAATGTTGACAAAAAGAGTCAAATTCTATAAAATATTTGAAGAGATTTATTCTGAGCCAAATATGAGTGACCATGGCCCATAACACAGCCCCTAGGAGGTCCTGAGAATACGTGCGCAAGGTCAGGGTGCAGCTTGGCTTTATACATTTTAGGGAGGCATGAGACATCAATCAAATACATTTAAAAAATACATTGGTTTGGTCCAGAAAGGCAGGACAATTCGAAGCAGGGTGGAGGGCTTCCAGGCTATAGGTAAATTTAAACATTTTCTGGTTCACAATTGGTTGAGTTTGTCTAAAGACGTGGAATCAATAGAAAGGAACGTCTGGGTTGTGATTAGAAGTTGTGGAG